CCTCGCCCCGCCCCGCCTGATACCGCCACCCGCCACACCCGCCACCGGAGCCGGGGCACAACAACGCGCTCCGCACACCACCGGACCACGGCGTGTCTTTATCTCCGCGGTGTCGTACACACACTCGCCCTCGTGCGACAATAATTTTTGACGACGACGAAAAAAAAATAAAAAATAAAATTCAATTTATGTACTTCAAGCTTAATGAAAGCGCGGGTAATGCACCTTCACTTAACGGCCCGGGAGCACGAGAGACTCCCCCGGGCCCTCGACCCCCCGCTGACCTTGCTAACCTCAGGAACTTCCGTTTACATGCAGGTCGCACTCGGCTACGACACCCAGGCCAGCGCCACCCAAGTCCAGACGCCTCGAGCCAGTACACAGAGAAAGAAAACAAAGTGAGTCAAGACAAAACCAACAAATATTCCCCCGATGCAGCTCAGGACGCCGCAAATTGCGTGGTAGGACGTGCATGTTTGTCCTTTGGATTTCGACGGGTTCGCATATACATTTCTACGACCAACCTTCGAGTTTTGTTTACGTGTGACCCCTTTGGAGGGTTGTCACGAACGGACACCGATGGTTATTGGTGGCAATAACCACCAGGTAGTACTCCCGACTGCAGCGTATACAAGAACTACATGCGATGGAGGAGCGCGGGGGAGGGAGGGGGGACCTGTTGCCGTGACAAAGAGCACACCCGCCAAGGTCGGATTCGAAGGAGCGAGGCGCAGGGAAAGGGGAAAAGAGAGAGGAGGGAGGGGGCAAGGGGCCATAGGGGCTGATCGTTCGTTTCCCCCTCCGAGGTGGGGGGCACTGCCGGGGCAACCTACGACGGGGAGGGGGCGCCGACGCCGTGCCGAGGTCAGATCTTGAGGCGATACCCGCCGTGTTCCCCGTAACGCGTACACGCGGAAGTTTTTGAAGCATGGTAGAAGGAGGAGGTGGGGAGATGGGGGTCTCCAGCGCCACCCACCATGTGCGACACGACCCGGCCGAGACTGACGTGGTATTGTTGTGGAGGGTGTCGGGCTTGGCGTTGCGCGACGAGCAGCCCACACACGACCAGCCCACGCGAGTCGAAACCGACGTACATACGTGGCTGGCGTCTGTTTTGAGGATGATGGGGCACACAAGTCGCAAACAAACGAAACCGCGACTTTCCTCTCTCATCAAAAAACGTTGTTGGCCTCGTCTCCGACAAACGAGGTCACCAGACAATTTCTTCCCTACAACAGCAGCCCTTGTGGCGCTAGGGTTTACTAACGGCGGGGGGTGCCGTAAAGGAACGACTCGGGCGGGCAGCACTACTAGGCAGCAGCCAAGACTCTACCACCACCCTGCCACTCTCCGCGCGCCGCCAACTGAAACATGTCGTAATGCGACCCAAACAGTATGCGCGCCGGGCGGGCGGGCCTGAAACAAAGGTAGCCATAACACTTTACAACCCGGAACCCGGAATTACAGCAACCCGCTGAGAGAGAACGAATGCCCAATGCAATCCCGCCGGGCCCGGCCGGCAGGGCCGCGGCGCCACCAACGACCTTGCGAACAAACGCGTGCACACAAACTTTACTGCAAAGCGGTTAAATGTGATAATGGAAGCGGAAAAAAGTAACCACTTTATTAATTCATTTTGAAGACGGTTCGTATCATCTCTCCAAACACGATTGTTACAACAGGTTTATTAAACCCACCAATTAACCATAACGAGAAGACACAAAGTCGATTTCAACGAAAAGTGACCACAGCACACTGCCTGCTATACCACCACTTCCCTGTCCCAGGACTTACTTAATACTCCCTTCCGTGACTTCTGCGGGCAACACGGCACAGACTGCGACTGCTGTGCCCCACCTCTCCTCCCCTCCTCGTTAACCCCCCCTCTCCGTGATCAGAAAACACGCGGCAGTAACAGAGCAGTCCGACTGACCACAAGCGTAGCACTGCGTTTTGTGGCGGGCCGTTGGGGAGGTCAAGCACGCCACGCCCGCACCCCTCCAAGCTGCGGCAACAAACCCAACCCCCAACCTCCTACAGCCTACAAAATCTCGTAAAAGCAAAA